AAAAAAAAAAAAAAAAAAAAACCAGACCTAGCTCATTGCCAGTGTCCTCAGACTACCTTGGGTGAGTTTCATTTAACTAGGTCAAACTTGTTGGTAGCAAACTTTACGTAGTTTCTGCCAAACCTGCTTTTTTTTTTTTTTTTTTTTTTTTGTCTTTTTCAGGTTTCCGTGTGAGGTTTAATACTATATGCATCAAAACATCAAAGCTTTTTTTCAGAGAAATATACTCTCAAGGTGAACTGTGGATATTGCAGATGTCTATCCTGTGGTCTTCTGTGGTTCCAGACACAGCAGGTAGTGAATTGGGAGGACCCAATACCACCAGATACCAAAGGCAACCATGAAGGGGCAGTTTAATTAATCACTGTTCTTAAATTTGTCATTGATATAAGACACCCAGTCCAGAATCAGCTGCCCAGTTGGTAGGTGACTATAGCGCCATGGTACTGATGGTGCCTGACATGGGAATCCAGTTCTTCCCCAATTCCAAGTAGGGTGGGCTGGGAGCGTGGAAACAAAGCAATGCCACCTACAGCCCTCCACATTTACTTTTCTTACTGTTAATGTAATCACCCATGATGTAGCACAAACATGATTATGAATATAATCAAATGTGTGTCTGAACATGATAAAAAATAAAAATTGTATATTTAAACTCTATGTATATACTTTATATTCATAGTGTTACTCATCTTACATAGTCATCTGCTCACAAATACAACATTATTACAACAACATTAATAAATATAATATTAAAAGAAAGATCACTTTTGAAAGCTCTGTCCAGCAAAATAAATAAATAAATAAATAATCATACAGTATTATCTGCATACTCAAATTTGGATTCTTTATTGCTCTGCAGGTTTCCAGAGTTCAGAGTTCAGAGAACAGTAGGAAAAGTAAATAAGTAATAATATTGTGTAGTTTAGAGAGTGAGTAATCAGTCTAAAACTTATGATAGGCTGAGCATGGTGGCTCACGCCTGTAATCCCAGCACTTTGGGAGGTCATGGTGGGTGGATCACCTAACCTCAGGAGTTCAAGAACAGCCTGGGCAACAAGGCAAAACCTCATCTCAACAAAAAAAATACAAAAAAAAAAAAAATAGCCAGGCATTGTGGCATGTGCCTGTGGTCCCAGCTACTCGGGAGGCTAAGGTGGGAGGATCACTTTAGCCTAGGAGGTGGAGGTTGCAGTGAGCTGAGATTGCACCACTGCACTCCAGCCTGGGTGACAGAGTGAGACCTCATCTCAAAACAAAAAGAAATGTGTGATAAAATAAAATAAATTTAATATCAAGATCCCTAAAATAATATAATAAACAGGTAAATTCTTACCTCTGAATGCCTGGGCACTAGATCCAATACATCCCTTTTGCTCACAGACCAGTGGAATGTGAGCCCAGGATTAGCATTGCTGAAGGAGAAAGGGGTCTGGGTACTGGTAACTCCCATGACATAAACTGGCATCTGAAAATAAATAGTGGCATTGTGCTATATAACCTGCCCAGTTGCAATTATCAGAATAATGAGCCCTGAACAGTGCCATCATACTGACCTTGGTAGCTGTGATGAGCCGAGTTGCAGCTGCAAGGATCCTAACAGCCCTTAGCTGAACAACTTCAATCTGTACTTCATCCTGCTCAACAGGGTGGAGAGCAAGCTTAGGCTAAGAGAGAGCTTCTGTGGGGTGGACAGAGATGCTTATGATAACTAGCTTGTTACTGTTTTTAACATTCAGTAAAAAACCTTACCCATGTTTACTGCAGCACTATTCACAATAGTCAATATTTGGAGGCAACCTAAGTGTCCATCAACAAACAAATGGATAAAGAAAATGTGGTACATATATACAACAGAGAACTATCAGTCATAAAAAGAATGAGATCCTGTCATTTGCAACAACATGGATGGAACTAGAGATCATTATGTCAAGTGAAATAAACCAGGCATAGAAAGACAAAGACAAACTTCACATGTTCTCACTTATACATCTGTGGGAGCTAAAAGTTAAAACAGTTGAACTCATGGAGATAAAGAATAGAATGATGGGCTGTGCACAGTGGCTCATTCCTGCAATTCCAGCACTTTGGGAGGCCGGGTGGATCACTTGAGGTTAGGAGTTCAAGATCAGCCTGACCAACATGGTGAAACCCATCTCTACTGAAAATACAAAATTAGCCGGGTATGGTGGCACATGCCTGTAGTCTCAGCTACTTGGGAGGCTCAAGCAGGAGAATCACTTGAATCCGGGAGGCAGAGGTTGCAGTGAGCCGAGATCATGCCATTGCATTCCAGCCTGGGCAACAAGAGCAAAACTCTGTCTCAAAACAAACAAACAAAAAGGTAGAACAATGGTTGCCAGAGGCTGGGAAGGGTAGTGGGTGGGTAGGGGGGATATAGGGATGATTAATGGGCACAAAAATATAGTTAGATAGAATGAAAAAGATCTAGTATTTATAGTATAACAGGGTGACTACAGTCAACAATAACTTATTGTTTATTTAAAAATAACTGAAAGAGTATAATTGGATTGTCTGTAACACAGAAAGGATAAATGCTTGAGGTGGTGGATACCCCATTTATCCTGATGTAGTTAATATGCACTGTATGCCTGTATCAAAATACCTCATGTTCTGTTGGGAGCAGGCCCCCAAATCTGGCCATAAACTGGCCCCCAAAATGGCCATAAACAAAATCTCTGCAGCACTGTGACATGTTCATGATGGCCATGATGCCCACGCTAAAGGTTGTGGGTTTACCAGAATGAGAGCAAGGAACATCTGGCCCACTCAGGGTGGAAAACTGCTTAAGGCATTCCTAAGCCACAAACAATAGCATGAGCAATCTATGCCTTAAGGACATGTTCCTGCTGCACGTAAGTAGCCAAAGCCCATCCCTTTGTTTCCCATAAGGAATGCTTTTAGTTAATCTATAATCTATAGAAACAATGCTTATCACTGGCTTGGTGTCAATAAATATGTGGGTAAATCTCTGTTCATGGCTCTCAGCTCTGAAGGCTGCCAGCCCCCTGATTTCCCACTCCACACTCTGTATTTCTTTGTGTGTGTGTGTCTTTAATTCCTCTAGTGCCACTGGGTTAGGGTCTCCACAACTGACCTGGTCTCGGCAAGTGGTGCCCATACATGGGGCTCCAACTCAGGTCAAAGGGTCACCAGAGTGATGGTTGGAGAACGTGGAACTAAGCTGGAGGACACCCGAGTACTCTTAAGCAATCCCCGTGGTGAGTAAGAAGGAGAGCTTGGAAGCATCAGGGTAACAATGGGACAAGTGTGGGCTCTGGTTCATTCCACCTTGGAACCTTTTCACACTGATGATAAGGAGGAAGGAAAGTATATCGAAATAACAGAAGAGGTGACAGAGCAGGTTTGTTTGCCAGTTAAAGCTAAAGTGGCAAAGGAGGAAGAGGTTCATCCCTACCCTTCTGGACCCCCTCCTTATTTTGAAGAAGAAGAGTGGCTTGACCCTCCAGATCTTTCTTTTCCGGAGGACACTGGGCAAAAAGTAGTTGTCCCAGTGACTGTTCAAGCAGTGCTTCGAGCAACCGCTCTCAGTTCTATTCAGGCAGGAATCCAGCAAGCTAGAAGAGAGGGTGATATAGAGGCTTGGCAGTTCCCTGTTAGGATACATCCCCCAGATCAACAGGGAAATATAACTATGTTTGAGCCTTTTCCTTTTATACTTAAAGAGTTTAAACAGGCTATCAATCAGTATGAACCAGATGTATGCCTAAAGTGTAAAAAAGGAAAACATTGGGCTAATCAGTGTCACGGGAAACACCATGAGGGGCCTTTCCCGGACTCCATTCCAAACCCAGACATTTCCAGCTCAGGCCACTCCCTCACCCCTGTACAATGTCTGTCCCCCACCACAGCCGGTAGTGCCGCAGTAGATTTATGCTGCACAAAAGCTGTGAGCCTTCTGCCTGGGGAACCCCTGCAAAAAGTACCAACAGGAGTCTGTGGACCCTTGCCAGCAGGGGCAATAAGATTACTTCTAGGTAGATCTATTTTAAACTTAAAAGGAGTGCAAGTACATATAGGAGTCATTGATTCAGATTACAGTGGGGAAATTCAAATTGTTATATCTCCTTCTGTTCCCTGGAAAGCAGAGCCAGGAGAGTGTATAGCAGAGCTCCTGATTGTGCTGTATGTAGAAATGGGGAAAATTGAAAAACAAGAGGATTTGGAAGCACAAATAAACAAGGCAAAGCAGCTTACTGGGTGAATCAAACTACTGATAAACATCCTACCTGTGAAATAACTATTCAGGGAAAGAAATTTAAAGGTTTGGTAGATACAGGAGCGGACATTTCAATCATTTCTCTACAGCACTGGCCATCCACGTGGCCAATTCAACCCGCTCAATTTAACATAGTTGGAGTTGGTAAAGCCCCTGAAGTATATTAAAGTAGTTATATTTTGCATTGTGAAGGACCCAATGGACAACCTGGGACTATTCAACCAATTATAACTTCTGTACCTATAAATTTATGGAGAAGAGATTTATTACAACAATGGGGAGCACAAGTTCTAATTCCAGAACAATTATATAGCCCTCAAAGTCAACATATGATGCATGAAATGGGGTATGTCCCTGGTATGGGACTAGAAAAATATTTGCAAGGTTTGAAGGAGCCGCTTCAAGTGGAAAGACAAAGTTCCTGCCAAGGGTTTAGGATATCATTTTTGATGGCAGCCATTGTTAAGCCTCTAGGACCTATACCTTTAAAATGGTTAACAGATAAGCCAATTTGGATAGAACAATGGCCGCTAAGTAAAGAGAAACTGGAGGCTTTACAGGACTTAGTTACTGAACAATTAGAAAAAGGACACATTGCTCCAACATTTTCCCCTTGGAATTCTCCAGTCTTTGTTATTAAGAAAAAAATCTGGTAAATGGAGAATGTTGACAGATCTTAGAGTCATTAATTCAGTTATACAACCTATGGTGGCATTACAGCCAGGACTGCCTTCTTCTGCTATGATTCCACAAAACTGGCCTTTAATAGTCATAGATTTAAAAGACTGTTTCTTTTTTTTTCTATTAAGATTTTATTGTCATTAAAATTGGGAGTGCAAGGATTATAAATTCAGAAAATATAAAATGTACATGAATTTCTTATATTTTTACCTAACAGAGTGACTGAGAATGAAATAAAAATGAGTTTTGTGAAATCATGGACTCTTTCAAAATCATGTCTAGTAGCATGGTCTCACTTGAATGATTTGTCAACAAGTGCCATCAGATGTCAGTGAAAATATTCTCACAATGGATTGAAATTTAAGCACTACACAAGTATAAACTTTCTTCTCACTTCAAATATGAAAACAGTACAGGTATAGAAATTTACTTATCCTGACAAGTAATAAACTCTGATATAAAAAATCTCTCACCTTCCCTAAAAGAGTAATGCCTTGTTCTCTAATTCAATTCCACAAAAGATTAGTTGAAAAATGAACCTGATATTATCTTTTCTTGATGTCACTCAAAGTCTGATCACTTGAATATTAACTCAGATTCCACAATCTTAAAAGTAGCACTAACATACCAGCTTAAATGCCCAGAACAGGAATGGGTTATTCTTTTTGACTAGTATATCCTTCCTTTGCTTTGCCTGGTGAGCTCATCGTCTAGTTCAAACATTACTTAACATTTTAAAAACCTTTACAGAACTTGAACTCTTCAAAGGGTGGGGGAGGGTTTCCTCAAAGGAAAAATTGAGTTGTTTATCAAAGGGAGGAATAAAAGAAGCAGGTATTTGTCTCATTCATCTAGGCTTCTCCACTGTAACCTAGCATTATATGAGGTACATGAAAATTCCTCAGTGCTAAATGAGAGAATTAAATCAGATGGTTCTGGAGTTAGGACCCTTTCTGTATCTTCAAACTTGTCACTTTTTTTCTTTGGTTCCCACTTACGTTTGACAAATAGACATGTATCTTTTTAAACAGTTATCTACCTTTTTTTCCAAGAGAGGAATTCTCCCATTTCAACCTATTATCTCAGTATAACTGGATAACCTCATCCCACTCAGAAACAGGCCAGATTCCACTGGGTTGCGCATTGGGAGGAGAGCGCTTCCAGTCCCACGTCTTTACAGGAATCTTCCCGGTCTTACCATAGTTGGCTTCAATGTATTCGAGGGTTTTACAGGGCACATGGACCGTCATGTCTACAAACTCAGTCCAGCACAATGTAAACTTAGGAAACAGGTACTTGAATTATTTTCCTGTTTTGGCCTGAGTGACTCCGTTGCGCATGTGATCAGTTTCTTCACAGAAGAAAAAAATGTCAAGTTTTACATCGTCTTTTCCCTGGAAGGATAGTTCCAAGCTGTCTTCTACCTTCCCAAATTTGTGTTTGAGCAGAAGTCCTGCATCCTGAAATGCTAAAATAATATCAGATTTGTAATCTTGTATAAAAATTCCTAGGTCGCTGGGCACGGTGGCTCACGCCTGTAATCCCAGCACTTTGGGAGGCCAAGGCGGGTGGATCATGAGGTCAGGAGATCGAGACCATCCTGGCTAACACGGTGAAATCCCATCTCTACTAAAAAATACAAAAAACTAGCCCGGCGAGGTGGCG